AGAAACTTTGCAATTACGGATTTCGGGGTCCATTTTTTTCGTTGCTTCAAAACTTTCTGACTGACAGATCGCAACAAGTATTGGTTTGCAACAAAACAAGCGCCAACGTATACCTACAGAAGGGAGTACCACAAGGCTCGGTCCTGTCCCCCTTGCTGTTTAATCTTTACGTGAACGATCTCGCCCGATCAACATCAGGATGTACAGTTTACCAATATGCAGATGACACATTGTTGCTATCTACTCATATCAGCCTGCGCTGTGCAATCAACATGCTACAGATAAATTTTACAAGAGTCATGAACTGGTTTGAAGCAAATCGAATATCTGTGAATATGCAAAAAACAAAACTTGTCTGTTTCCGTAACCCACTCAAGCGGACATGCATAGACATACCTTTTATATTACATTCATCGTCTTGTGTCTCTTGCAGCTGTACGCCTATACCATACGTAAATAGAGTAAAATACTTGGGCACTTATTTCGATAGCGATTTAACATGGAATACACACTTGGATTATTTGGCTAAGAGACTACGAAATATATCATGTTTATTATATCTCATCAAAACCTTCCTCCCAATCTCCGTCAGAAAAATGGTCGTTAATGCTACCGCGTATGGAGCTCTGCGATACGGAATTACAATCTTCGCAAACTGTTCAGCTCTTTGAAGAACGAAAATAGATGTCATTCTTAAGAGCATCGCCAAAAACGTTGCCTATGATCCCAAATTAATACAGGATGGTGACGTATTCGCATCAGTGGGCCTACCGCGTTTTCTCCCTCTTTTTCAACGATGTGTCATCCTAAAGCATTATTGGAATAGCCCGTTTAAAACGCCTCATTTTGTTCAGCGCCGTATAAGAAATAGTGAACGCTTTATAATTCCTCGAATATACACCAACTACGGAAAGAGTCTACGTTCATTTTACGTGCCTGACATCTTCAACAAATTACCAGACGTTTTTAATCAACTCACCTGAAATCACCTGAAAAAAATGTGCTAGAATACATGTATGCATTTTTTTTTTTTTTTTTGCGAATAACATTTCGAACTTTTTGGACCTTTCTTCAGTTGGTGCTGAATCCACATAGGCATTTGTTTGTGTCTTTATCCGTGTCTATGCTGTGAGTACTGTGTATTCGTGTATCCGTGAACGCATCTGTAGATCTAAATTTGGGTATATATATATATGCCTCTGTGCATCTTTGTGTGATATATGCCTGTATACACATATCAGGTTTTTTTTTTTTTTTTTTGCAAACATTTACTTTTTTTATTACTTTTGAAAGTGTACATTGATTTATCCATGTGTTTAAATATTACTTTGTCATGAAGGATGGTATAGTGTAGTTATAGCAATCATCTCTGTGCTTCTTATTTTGCCATTTGTGAATTATTTCAAATATCTATACTGACTGCCATTTGTGAACTATTTTTGAACTTCTAAACTGACTGCTATGAGCATACCAAGAACGCCCGTCTACCACTCACACTGGCTAACACCACTGCTGGATCGTGTCACACAAGCCAACCCTGGCTTCGACAGACCCGAGTCTAACATAATGAAAAAAATCAAATGCTGGAATAAAATAAAATATTATTATTATTATTATTATTATTATTATTATTATTATTATTATTATTATTATTATTATTATTATGTATGCTCTATTTCTCGAGCAACTCCTTTCTGGCATTCAAATAACATTATATTGTTTAAAAAACAATATTATAGCTACAGTTGCGGCCAGGCCGACCCGGCCTAATGCCTCGTTCACACTTGCGAACCGGCGGCCGGATTCGCGAGAATTCTGACGCCGGGCGACGAAAGCAGGCAGAATTTCCGGCGGAGAGCAAGATCGCTCTGGGGACCAATTTTGAACGCCGGAAAAAAAAAAAAAACCTTCGCTCGCTTCAAGCCAATCGGAACGCGCGGAGGAAGTGGCGCTTGCAGACGTCAGATACCCGCTGACGAGCTGGCGACGATGACGACGAGACGCGCGCGGACAAGGAGGAGGTTTGGGAGCCCTCGCCAACTCTCGCCTATTGAGGAAACTGCGAGACGCTGGAGCCGCGCACTCCGCAGGCGGCAACAAATGTGAACGGCCCGATCTTTTTTTTCGGCGAGCGAATCCAGTCGGCGGCCAGTGCGTATTTCACAAGCGTGAACGAGCCATAAGAGCCGCAAAACAAAGAACACGACTAAACTTCCAAGAGCCGCGGGGGGCGGGAAGGGGGTTACTTTTGTTTAGAGCAATTAACTCAACTCCAGCCACTTCCAATCTATCTGAGTCAAAAGCTGTCCAGCTGTACGTAAGGTAGCAGTAGCAAAAGACTACCAAACCGCAGCCTGTCTTTCGATTTCAAACGCGTTCCACTTCTTTTTTGGGGGAAATAATCGTGTTACCAGAAGAAAAAGCACAAGATATATATATATGTATTTTTTTTTTTTGGGGGGGGGGGGGGGGTGTGCGTGTGTTTGTGTGTGTGGGGGGGGGGGTAGTCGCATTTTAACACGCGAGGAGCCGCAGCTTCGCCACCCCTGGGGTTGCAGAAGTCGCTTTCGCAAAAGTGGTCAAACCAGCACGTTTTGACCTGCAGCGAACTACCCATTTCCTGCAGCTGGAATTATATATCTTATCATTTATTTGAAAGTCATCAAGTCAGAACAAAAACAGGACTTCATAAAAGCTGAAACTTACGTGCTTGTTTCCCGAGGGAAACGAAAGGAGGGCAGGTCTTTTTCTTGCTAAATGAGGTGCTTGCAGCCGGTAACGTAGCACTGCCTTCTCCATTATTAAATTTCCGCACCGTCTCCTTTTTTAACCCTTCTACAATAGTTGCAAGAACACCGCATGGCAACCGAAAAAATATAACGCCGTCAAGCCTGCGTTTGTCGGGCCTAACCGGACGAGGGAGGAAGCCGATCCCGACAGCGCGTTGGCGCCGACTGCGTAAGCCTTGGCGGACGCAGACATAGGATCATACCGCAAGGGGAGGATATGGCGCAGCGCGCTGCAGCTCTAATGCAAATGGACAGAGTGGACTGTATCTCCCTAGTAAAATATTTGTGCACACCCTCGCGCTGTTTTATCAGCCTCCAGGTAGCACTACATGAACCGAAGGGCACACGATCCGGGGTTCCCGATCATACTGTTCAAGATAATGCAATACGGCACGTATTAAGATCACTGAGCCCTTCACCAATAACTCGATACGTTTTACACTTTTGCAAGGTTGTCTATGTAAAACAGGGTTAGACCAAGGGAGTGGTTGGATGAAGCTTTCATTAAAGCACATCAAAGACATTTTATCAAAATCAGTTAGCGATGTTCCTCTTGGCGCACATGAGCCAGTACCAGCGGCCGAAGAAACAAACTTGGCTACCAGTAATTTTTTATTAAAAATTGTGGTCCGTGCTTCAAGAATGAGCATAGTATTCTCAATACAAGCTCAAAATAAAAAAAAACACATGCATAAATTTGGAATGAAAACCTCGTTCATACCTTCAAAAACGCTCTTCTTCAACCGCAACTTGCAGTGATTGTTTTTAGAAGTCGTTACGATAAATTAATAATAAAAGCATATTTAAACAAATTGAATATCATAACAATATAATTCTTGAATTCAGCAGTGCTTATCTTCCTCTTCGGTTAGAATCATGTGTATAATTAGAGCGCACGTTTTGTGAAGCGCTCAAAAAGTGGATTCGCACTTTACAGAGAGAGAATTTTCACGTCGCGGATTTCCAGTGAAACTCTACCAGGGCCTGCCGCGATACGTAGCTTATTCCAACCAATTTGCCGTCGCCCTTCCCTACCAAACTGACGCGCTGACTTCTGTGATATATACAACCGTAGTCGAAGGTATGAGATGGCTGGGTGTTGGAGCCGGACCGATATGAACCCTGCGGGCCTGAACGCAGCTTTAGTGCCAAAGAGTTCCGAATTCCAATGAAGAAGATGCTGCAAATGTGAAAGCATGCGTCAGACGATGCATTTAACAGTGTTTGGCTAGCGTGAAACCCCGCTTATTTTTCAAAAAGTTTTTTTTTTTTTTTTTTTTTTTTTTATAATGTGTCGTTATCATGACTATATCAAAACCAAAAATTTTTTTAACTAAAGAAACGCTTCGAAATATTGTATTTCAGGCTTCGATGGCATTTTCTTCCGCCTAGAAAAATGGCCGGCCTTTGTTCAACGACAGCATCTGCTCTATAGTCGCTAGAACGAGGGGAATATATGCTCTCATGTCGCGTCCGTTCGGTTAACACAAATATTATTAGAAAACGTGATTTTAATATTTTGAGGTATGTAGCAGTTTTATTTCGAGAAAACAAATAAGAAACTGAAAGCATATATTGTTGTGATTGGTGAAATAAATGTAGCACAATGTGTGACCTAGATACGTGTTCACTAATGATATTACATCATTGCTGCAAGCTGAATAATGCGTCAGACTCGCGCTTTATTTCGTCAATTCGTATCTCACAAATAATGAAAAAGATGTTTAATATTACAAAATATGCTTATACTTAGAAATAAGGCTGTCTAAGAACGTTTATTTGCGTTTTATAGAAAAAAAAAAGAATAACGGAAGCCTGTGTTATTTTGAAGAAAAAGTGAAGTGCATTATTCGCTTGAGACGTTACTAAGGATGTCTGCCACAAAATAAAAGAAAACAAAAGCTGGTAAAAAAACAAACATTATGTAGCAACAAATAATGTTGGACATGTAACCCTGGAGCTAGGAAACAAAAAGGGACGGACAGTCACGATACCAGATCTCCTGCCTACTTGCTTTAACTTCAAATAATGTTCAGCCGTCCCTCCTGGGCCCTCTGGATATCCTATGAACAATAATACTAAGCACTTAATGTTAGCTCCTGATAGTTATGTGCAGACATTTAAGTAAACAAGTGTTCTTCAGCGAAGAAAATTGTTTGCAGTCCTACGATTTGTATAGCTACTCTAATCGGCATTCGATTTCTCCCTTAGACTGAAGTCAAAGAAAAGACAAGTGGCAATAAAAAGGTATTTACGCCTATTCAAGTGGTAGACTACAAGGAAGAAATCACCACGCAAGAGGTGCGCATGAACTTCTTTTCAATGTCTTGTATGTGCGAAGCTCCTTACAAGGTGACGTTCATTATGGTGTTAACAAGTAAATTATTTTTAATGACCAATTAGTGATTCCCTTTTTACGTTAAAACGTTTTGTGTTTCTTTTTTTCTTGCGCTGTGTGTGAATGCAACACTTATAGTGATCTTGTGTCATGTATTAGAATATCGAATATTATCGTCACCAGCACGCCTAGAAGATTGATTATTATTGTATCATGAAGTTAATTCTGGTATTCAATAATGCAGTACGTCGCATACTTTATAACTACGATTCCGGGCTTCCCATATGTAGGTGTGGAGAAACTCGGTGGGTGTTTATCAGAGTATCGCAAATTTGGTTTTCATTGCAGCTCACCTCTCTAATATTGTAGTCTCCGGACGCTTGCGTTAGTTTCTCAGTGTTTTAACAGTATTCTTAAAATTCTCCGAACTTGCGAATAATAAATAAATAATATCCACATTAAGGCGTGTAACAAGGCACGGGTATGAATTTTAAGAAGGCGAAATATTATAAGTGTGCAAGTTACTGTTTCCACAACCCCCCCCCCCCCCCCCCCCCCGATATGAAGCGCACACCGTATTATGTAAACTCAAAGCAGGAACTAGGATTAAGTAAGTAGCCCACTCAGATACACAGATTGCGCTACATTGACCTTGTACTGGACATACGTCAGGGGCTACATGGAGCGTGGCACATGCGCATTAAAGTCGCTACCCGTGATACTCATAGTCGAACAAATGTGGAGCTGCAAACAAACATTTGACACTGCTAAAGAGTAATCGCGTAGTGTAGGAATATCTCTCAATGGCTAGTAAGCGCTATGACCTCTTATGTTTTTCGCAAGTCCGATTCTTGGTAACAACAATGTTTGTTTTTCACGCGCCAGTTATGTGTGACTCTATCACACTTTGTTTTAAAGAACGCGATATTGCTCATTGCATCGGTTCCCGTCTGACCTATCCGTAACAATAGAATAAAAAAAAATTAAGGACTTTTTATAAATAAGGAATACAACAAATGAAAAAGATGAAAATGTTTGTCAAAGTCGTTTTTTTATATTATTTTCTGCGCATGTGTCTAACAAGTAGTCGTTCGGTTGTGACTTTTCTACGAATTAAACCAAGACACCGAGACCCGTACCATTGCTCCGAGGACTGCTGTCGTGCTCTCAGAGTCCATTGTTTTCTCTGCTAATTTTTGCATTTCCCTTTTTTTTTTTCTTTTTTTTTTGTAACTTCTAATTTTATTAGAAAAATTCAACTGCCATGCTTTAATGAACTTGACACGACGCTCTCTGCGAATTGAGGGAAGTCGTACGCGATATGTTTTCGGGGTTTGCGCTAAGACAGTGGTGAGAGGCCGTCGCAAACATTCAGAAAATGAGAAGTGAAGCCTCAAGAATTAAACTCTTATTTTTTTTAAACGCTTATTAAAAATTGGCATTCCTTGAAACCATATATAACTTTTAAAACGCAGCTCTTAGGCTCCTGTTTCCGGGTTGTGCGGCGTCGGCGTGGGCACCGCCACCGGTGTAACCGCGCTAAATTTAATGGGAAAATATACGTCACGTGAGCTCAACACCAATTCAATTCCCCGCTATATCTAGCGTGAAAATGATGTCACATAACTTGGTGTCACGTCACCTATGAACAAATTCAGCTTCTCCGACAGATTTAGCGGGAAAATTGACGTCACGTGACCTCAACAGCAATTCAATTCCCCGCTAAATTTAGCGGGAAAATTGACGTCACATGAACTCAGCACCAATTCAGTTTTTCCGCTAAATTTACAGGGCGAAAATGACGTCACATGACTTGGTGTCACGTCACCCATGAACAAATTCAGTTTCTCCGCTAGATTTAGCGGGAAAATTGAAATCACGTGACCTCAACAGCGCTTCAATTCCCTGTTAAATTTAGCGGGAAAATTGACGTCACATTACTTCGTATCACCTCACCCATGAAAAAATTCAGTTTTTTCGATAGATTTACCGGGAAAATTGACGTTACATGAACTCAGCACCAATTCAGTTTTAATGCTAAATTTAAAAAATGAAATGACGTCACATGGTTTGGTGCCACGTCAGCTAAGTACAAATTCAGTTTGTCCGCTAGATTTAGCGGGAAAATTAAAATCGCGTGACCTCAACAGCAATTAAATTCCCCGCTAAATTTAGCGAGAAAATTGACGTCACATTACTTCGTATCACCTCACCCATGAACAAATTCAGCTTCTCCGACAGATTTAGCGGGAAAATTGACGTCACGTGACCTCAACAGCAATTCAATTCCCCGCTAAATTCAGCGGGAAATTTGACGTCACATGAATTCAGTACCAATTCAGTTTTGATGCTAAATTTAGACGGTGAAAGGACGTCACATGGTTTGGTGTCACGTCAGCTACGAACAAATTCAGTTTGTCCGCTAGATTTAGCGGGAAAATTTAAATCACGCGACCTCAACAGCATTTCAATTCCCCGCTAAATTTAGCGGGGAATCCAATTGTTGTTGAGGTCACGCGGCGTCAATTTTTCAGCTAAATTTAGAGGGGAACCTGTGAGAGGAGGGGAGCGTATGGGGCAGCAGGATAGGAGGGTACGCAGGAGAAAGAGGGGAAAATACGGAGGAGGAGGAGGGGTGGAGTGGAGGAAGAGGACAAGGATGAAAGGAGGAGAAGGTGAGAGGAGTAGGAGGAGGAGAAGAGACAAGGAGGAGGAGGAAAGAAGGGGAAGACGAGGAGCAGAGGAGGAGGGGAGGAGGAGATGGTACAGAGAAGAGGAGGGTATACCCTCTCTTCCGTACCTTCTCCTCCTCCTTAAGAGCTGCGCTCTAATTTCGCGTTACAGATATTTGTAAACGCCTTTCATTTTGTTTATTGAATGTACTCAACCCAACAATGTTAGCGAAAACACAATATTAGCTTTTATTTGCTAATATTGTAGTGGCAGACTAAAATTTAACCATCTGGTTATTTCCGAGAGGAACAAACAGAGCCACAAAATCCGTTTTAAAAACTCCAGCTTTTGTATGTAAACATAAAAAACTCTCACTTGTTCTCTTTTAACTGTATGGCGAGTGTAAATTATTTGATCGAATAATTCATTGCAGAACAAGGATGACTCAAACTTCAAGCAAGACGTCCGCCTTAAAAACTACTACGAGGTCGATTTCTCCCAACCAGGATTAGAAGTTTACGAAAAGCACCCCTGCCTTCAACGCCACAATTCAAAGTTATATACTCTTGCATTTGAAGGTATTACCGTAAACACTAATATATTATATTTGAAACTGTTTTTCTTGACGTCATAAATGAATAGAAAACAACCTTGCAATTTAGGAAAGTTGAGACCGGAAACTCCAAGAGGAGCTTATTTTGGTTCGTCATTGGGGTAATACAGGTTTCAAAGTTGATCGGCAGGCCTGTGTGTTTAACCTGCGACAGGTATTACCATTTTTTTTTGCCAAATTACAGGTTTCAAGCCCACCTTTTAATTATTTATGTATATTTTTTATATCTCTATATACCTATTCATCAATCGATCAATACTGTTTGCTTCTCTTGATGGCGATTGCAGGAGAGATTGCTCGATACTTATACGTATGCACAAATCCTGCAAGGAACACAATATACTTAGAACTTTGCCGAAGCTATCATTTCTACAAAGCCCTGATTATCCAATATTTTTCCAAATTTGAGTAACAGATAATCTAATAATAATATGACTAACACAATGCGCCTATTCTGTTAAGCTTTTTTTCTTTCTGATAAAGTAAGTTGTAAACGAACTTGACTATAAATACCTGGGTCTAAATACAATTTCGAGGTTTAAACTAGAAAAACATCGTGATTTAACATCTAAAAAGTCGAATTGATAGTATCACAATATTTTCAGCTTTAATTTTTAATTTGCACTGTACAAAACGTGGTTCCCGGTTTTGGAACGTCCAAACATCCGTAAATTAAACATTTTAGTTTGATAATTCGAAACAGTTGTCTTTGCTGCCCTAACTGGTCGACACAAAATATCCTGCCTCAAAATCTGTCAAACCATTAGAGAGACTCGTACAACGTAAAGCGTTACTAGGTACTCTTCACCGGAAACACAGTTACGACGTAGTTGCTTTTAAGTCTAAAAGCGAGTAACGTTTTTTTTTTGTTTTTTTTTAATATGTATAATTTTTTTACGAAGCAATGAGTAATGTCATTTAGTTACTTTTGAAGGGGATGGTGTAGAGCCAAGTTACCCAATTTAGCTTTCGCCCCAGCTTGAACATCTGACAACTACACAAAGATTGTCCCCTCTGTCCATGAATTCCTGGATTAAACTGTTATACCATACCGGAATTTGCCCCCACCCTGTCTTTGGCCTATTTTTGACCCATATAAGTATCGAATTCTCTCCTTAAATGAAGCTAGACATTACTGACACGCGAAAAATGGAAAAAAAAAATATCCTAAGAGGTTAACCGAAACAAACGTGCGTTTGCATGTAGGACTCTTGTTAGGAGGAGGGAACCATTCACCATTCTATATTTTGACGATAACTGTAGTTATAGTCTCGTACTTCGTGCACATACTTCTTCCTATGGCTTTTTCGCCTCGAAATTTAGAGGCGCGTGATCGGGGAAGAACGAGGTTGGCTAATTTGTGTTGTTTACGATCTCCTCCAGGAAGTTTCTAAACGCCGTTACTTGGTACTCCACTCCATAATATAAGGAATTACTCGTTCCCCCTCTTGAAAAGTCGTTAACCTGAAAAGTAACTACATATATGTAGCACATTACTCGTAGCAGGTTACGTATAATCTAAAATCTTAAAATGAGCATGGTGTCATATCAACATCTTTCCTTACGTTCTTGCTAGTTCGTGCTAGGCTTATCCACTTGAAAGCTCTTTCTGTGACTTTGTAACCTGTCAGTAAACGTAGGCTGTGATCTCTCTCGTCCTAGCCTTGAACCACATTCCCAGAACACCCTCGCCCACTCAGTCAGCAATGAAATAAATTACAATCAATTCTGGCTATCCCACAGTCACCCCGCGTGTGAATAAGCAGAACTATCTCAAAGGGCGTTCCAGGCTCCTTTCATGATTAGCATATTTAAATCAAATGTAGGGCGCGTTTTAAAGTTGACCTAGATTAGAAAGAATAAAACGAAACTCTCATTCTTTCTTTCGATCTCCCTGTCTCTTCATTTTATTTGTCGGGTGCAATTGTAAAGAAGGCTTTTCAGTTAATTCATCTTCTTGGTGTTTAAAGATATTTCGTCGTCCATTGTCCCGATTTCGTTTTATTCTTCCTGTGCCAAGTTCAACCCAAGTTGTAATACAGGACTTGAGGAAACACTAGTAAAAAAGCGTTTTTAAAGCATATAATGCTTTAAGCTAAAGCCTCTACTATGCTTCGTTTCATATTGTGCTGAGCCGCAGGGGAAGGCTAGGGGGCAGTGAGATGGCCCTAGCAAGACACTCTTACTAATCGCAAACTAGTGCACCAAAGACTTTGATATCACAAGGCACGTAGCCTTTGTTATTTGCGTAATGTCCGTGTTTTGTACCAGTGATACACAATATATGTAACGAAGCTCTTAAACGTGATATTTAATATTTAAATATGTAGCATGGTTGTAGGAATTAGTCTTCTGGTTGGGCAAGCTTGTGGTTGCCGTGACGTTCGTTTATTCAACATGCATGCACCATCGACGATGTGACGTATTGCAAAGAAAGATTTCTCCCAATGGATATTTTATATTTAGAACGTAGGGATACTTTAAACCTGAGTTAGATATTTATTTGGAAGTAATAATTTAGCTTTAAAATGACATTGCTTTTTGTTTAAAATGTAACCTGACAAATATAACCGCTCTTTCACTTTTGTTAGCCCCATAGTGGCCTCGGAATCAGCATGCAGGCGCGTCTCCGTCGGGGCTGTGTTTTCTTCGCCAGCTCGCTTCTAGACAGTTTTTTGCAACAACAAAAAAAATCGCGTTTGAAAGAAAAGCGTGGTAAATTATGCTCAACGTATACTACAAAACTTCGTTCTGAGTCTCCGAGCAAGTCGTACGGAGCGATCGTCCAAAGAACACCTGAGCTGTGGTGAATGCGGAAGAATAGTCACACTGGCAGCATGCCTGGTACCGCCGGTAAAAATACGTTTATTCGTCAGTGCCGCATACCTTTATGGCGTTGCAAAAAGGGCAGGAACAGCTGTGCTCATCCAAGCGTGCTTCGTCAGTAACTTTCCAACAGCTCTTCGTAGAGTAGTGTTAGTAATCGGCGTCTGCACTTTCGAATCCATACGAGCACTGGTCTGCGAGTTCATGCAGGCGAGACATTTCGCGATTTCTCAAGGGTGCTAGGCTGCAAGCGACGTTCTCTTTTCCAGAAATAATTGATCCGTTTAGCGACGTCAAAGTCTAATTTTTCCAGTGGCACAAGCAGTGAGGCGCAGAGTTTCTGCGGAGGCTGTTTCAGCTCGACGTGCAAAGCATCTGTGATAGGATGTCATACCGTGCAATCCCACCGATCCCACTCAGAAAATTGAGACTACACAGCTTCTTCGCGTCAACCTCGGCACATCAAGAGGTTCCAGCCATGATAACCAAAGACACTTAAACTTGTGCAGTAAATCTAAATTATACGAAGTCTAGATGTTCTCGGACACAGCACACAAAAACGTTTCACCCACTCCGCGTCCACGCCGGTCTACCAACCAGCGCCATTTTAACTCGCGCACTGACAAACACTCGACGAACCAGGTGACGTCACTTGTACACTGGCGCTTGATTGGCTGTGGAGTCCTCTAGCCTTCTGCTGCGGTTCAACACAAGATGAAACGAAGTACACCAGAAATTTGTCCGTTAGTGCGTCTGTCTGTTTTTGCATGTCAGGGCATGTCCGCGCACCCGGCTAACAGTTCGTTGTGGTGTAACATGACGTCACGTCACATGACCACGTCGCGTAGCGTTATGACACGCGACCTAACTGTCTGCCCTAACGTCATGGTGGCACGTGAGGTGTTGTCGTGTGACACCAGAATTGGACGCCGGTACGTCACGTGACCACCTGGCGTGACGTCATTTGACGGGACGTCACATGTTAGACGTCAAATGTAAACAATCATTTTAAATACCGCATTGTGTAAATTACAAGTCTTTGGAGATAGATGCCGCTACCGACTTTTTTTGTATTTTCCAGGTTATATTTTAGGCGACAGCGCAATTAAGCTTTATTCCAGTCCCAGCAACCCCAATCAACACGCAAGTTAAAATTTTAGGCACAGGCATAAGTCCTCTGCAGCAAGGAATAACGCGGTTTTGTGAGCAAAGAAAATTTTTGCAGTTGTGATAAACGTTGTCTGTGATGAATTTAAATCATCGTGATGATGTAGTTATTTAACGTTGCATTCATGCTTTAATATCAACATCGAACAAACTACCAACAAAAAAGAAATTGAAAATATTTCAGCCCATATATAGTTCTTCGCCTACATCAGTTTCAGTCGAGCCTGAAGTGCCATTTACACCGTCTGTTATTTATTTTGAAGTGAATTGAATTGTTGTTTTTGTTCATAATCAACATCTTTGACGATGGAGTAGCATACTTACTCGTTTATATACGTTTCACAAACACCTTTTTTTCAAGCTAATTTCAAGTGCTTTTTCCTTCCTATACACAATTTCTATATGAAAAATAAAAGTGATATCTGACGTTCTTTTTTTTTGTTTTGTTCTAGGTCCTGGAGTGGTCGATACCAACAAGGCGCGCTTTCTGCCACAGTTAAGGAGAGCTATAAAAAAGGTCTGCAATCCCGAAACAATGCTGAGGTTCGAGTTTGTTGACGTAAGCATAATATTTTGCTTCTTAGTTGGCTGTGACAATTGATCAGTAATAGAATATTAGGAGAGTGCAGCAATGGGGAATTTGAAAGAATTTGCAGCCTGTATTAACGTGAAACGTTCTTCGGCTAGTTGATTCGAATTTAGTGAAGCCGGATTAAACTGAAGTCAGTTTTCAATAAGGTAGTTTTTGATCTTATAATGTTTAAAATGTGTTAGTTCCCACCTATACCAAGTTCTCATACTACAAAACCGCATATTCATTTCAGGGCAATAAAAAAAAACAAAAAAAACATGTGGACTCTTTTTTTCTCGCGGACTACATTGTCTGACCCAATGAAGGCCTCTTCTTTTCAGCGCGGGCGACGCCACCGCTTGCAACTCGCCGACAAGCTGCCTACGTCGACCACTTTACTCGAAAGAAAATTCTTCCCAAAATGGGCGTGTTGAGATCTTCGAACCTGTTTTTAAGGTGGAAATAAGCTACGCACGATTGTAATTTCGGGTTTGCTGGGATGCTTAAGGCGTCTAGATTGAGTTGTCACCACCCAAGGACAATCTCAGAATTGACTTCAGTGCCCCTTTAGGTGAAGCTGTATTAAGTAAAGCGGGATTAAGTTTCCCCGCTAGATTTAGCGGGAAAATAGACATCTCGTGACCTCAACACCAGTTCAGTCTCCCCGCTAAATTTAGCGAAAAAACTGACGCCACATGACTTCCTGTCACGTGTCCTCTACACAAAGTCAGGTTCCACGCTAGATTTAGCGTGAAATTTTACTTCACACAATTAAATTTCCCTGCTAAATTTTACGGGGAAAGTGATGTCCCATGACCTCATGTCACGTGGATATATGGTAGCTTTGGATTTTGTGAAGCCGGATTAAATTTACCCGCTAGATTTAGCGGAAAAACGACGTCACGTGACCTCTACACAAAATCAGTAGGGAGTTTTCGTAGATCGTTTTCGCCGTCCCGCAAGGCCCTCCGCAACCCGCTACGATAGCGGGAATTCCACAGTCAAGGCTATCGGCGCGCAGGCGCAGTAGCAACTTCTTCGCTGCGGAACGCTTAGCGGAGGGGGCAACGCGGTCTACGAAAACTCCCTAATATTCCTGCTAGAATTAGCGGGGAACTTGGCGTCATGTTTCCTCAACGCCAATTAAAATTCGCCGCTAAATATAACGGGGCAATTTATATCACATGACTCCATGCCACGTGGCTAGTTGCTCCGGATTTCGTGAAGACAGATTAAGTTTCCCCATTAGATTTAGCGGGAAAATTGACGTCAAGTGACCTCAAGACCAATTCAGTTTCTCCACTAAATTTAGTGGGAAAAAGGTGTCACGACCGTGTCACGTAACCTCTACACAAATTCAGTTCACCCGCTAAATTTAGTGGGTAAATTGACGTCACGTGACCTATAAACAAATTCAAGCTCCCTGCTAGATTTAGCATGAAAGTTTACGTCAAAAAATTAAATTTTCCCGCTAAATTTTACAGGAAAAATGATGTCCCATGACTTCATGACACGTGGATATATGGTTTCTCTGGATATTGTGAAGCCGGGTTAAGTGAAGCCGGATTAAATTTACCTGCTAGATTTAGAGGGAGAATTGACGTCACGTGACCTTAGCATCAATTCAGTTTCCCCGCCAAATTTAGCGGAAAGAACGACGTCTCGTGACTTTATATCACGTGACCTCTAAACAAATTCAGTATTCCCGCTAGAATTAGCTGGAAACTTGGCGTTATGTTACCTCAACGCCAATTAAAATTTCCCGCTAAATTTAACGGGGAAGTTGATGTCACATGACTCCGTGTCACGTGGCTAGTCGTTCCGGATTTTGTGAAGCCGGATTAAGTTTCCCCATGAGATTTAGCGGTAAAATTGACGTCACGTGACCTCAAGACCAATTCAGTTTCTCCACTAAATTTAGCGGGAAAAAGACATCACGACCGTGTCACGCAACCTCTACACAAATTCAGTTCACCCGCTAAATATAGTGGGTAAACGGACGTCACGTGACCTATAAACAAATTCATTTTCCCCGCTAGATTTAGCGGAAAGATTTAAGTCACGTGACCTCAACGCCGATTCAAATTCCCCGCTAGATTTAGCGGGAAAAGTGACATCACATGACCTCTAAACTAATTTAGTTTCCCCCTAAGTCTAGCGGGAAAATTTACGTAACATGGTTTCGTGTCACGTAACCTATACAAAAATTCAGCTTCCCCGCTAGATTTAGCGGGAAATTTGATGTCAGCCGACCCATACATGAATTCAGTTTCCTCGCTAAATTTATCAGGGAAATTGACGTCCGTGATACCGATTTTAGATCGGTGAAACCAGGAGGTGCAGCCATCGCTAAATGTTTTTGATGATAGAACGTTTCACGTATCAAACAAAATTGCTTAGAAATTCGCCATATTTTTGTTTATTGTTTATCTCTGTATAAACGACAGGAAACGCGCCACCTTACGTCGAAGTACTGAAATTTCGCTAATTAATCGCGAAAGAAAAGTGGATTTTCCCCAAATCTGCAGACCACGTGGTGGTCACCGGAAGCACGGTGCGACGTCATTGGGAGTACAGAAGTTTGCGCGGAGCCATCTAATGGAAGTCAACTAAACCCTCCTCTTCGTCACTACCCTCCACAACTGTCACGTGATGAACCGTCTTTTTTCTCGATCGCTCGCAGCGACCCTCAACGATGCTAAGCGGTGCAGTCCTCTATTTCAGCCGAATCATACATTGAAAGGCCGACAATCGCTGAGGGAGGGCTGGGGGCATATACCCTCAGGGCAATGAGGGCCATCAAGTTTGGTGTGATACGTTCCACCATCTAGCAGGCTGGCTCGTGGGGCTGTTCACACATCATTTTGAAGGTGCTGACTCGTGTGTTTTGGTCTTTTATTCTTAGCATTGCTACCGGATGTTGCCGACGACCAAACGCCGAAGCTGTAGGCACTGTTGCGTACCGGACTGTCGCAACCCCGGAAGCTTCGCAGGCGTGAAGCTCCGCAGGGTCCCGTAGAGACCATGGGAAGTACAACGCAGTCGGAGAGTGATAAATGCCGTAAAATGTGTAAAATAAGCATTCCATTCACATCCTGACTTGAGATGAATTTCTAATTCCGCTATTCGACTCGATACTTGGAATTAATGCGCTCGAAGCCCCATGTTTTCTTTTGATTCGATGCCGTGACTCTAGAGTCAGATCAGTCCCTTTGACACTCCCACTTCTCGCTACTCCGCGGGCACATCTTGATCGAACGACGTTTTGCGGACGTTTGATTGCAGATACCGAAAAACGAAGTGAGCGCTTTTTCCGCTTCGCCGGTTGCAGAACCGACTGTCGTTTGCGCATTAGCGTGATCGAGCAGCTGCCCAAGATGGCTGCTGTGTTTCGACCCCTGTCTATGCAGTACTAACTTCGTCCCCGCTGCAAAAAAAAAGAAAAAAGAAAAGTCATATTCAAGAAATAAAAAAAAACCTACTTACCCCACGAGAAAAGGTTATTCATACGTCGTTTATTTGTGGTTTATGTAAAAGTGAAGAGCATATTTAATCGACGAGAACGAGCATGAGCTTGCTACGAGCAACTGGGTACGACACCTTCCAAACTACAGCCAGCTTGCACGAAAAAAAAGCATCCAACACCAAAATCGCTTTCAACACGATGATGAGGGGTCTGGAAACAGACTGATCACCAAAATGAGGTCGTTTATTCATGCGGGAAAAGTTCACATGGCAAAAAGAAACTTAAGACTGCTTACGTGTAGGAACGCGAAAACGTTTTTACACGCAGCGCATTCCAACAAACAGTGCGTCACGCCTTCCTATCGCTCACGGCGCTCCGGCAGTTACATCACGCATCCCTACTGCGCAGGTGCGACGAACCCCGCCGGCTCCACCCTTCCGAGACGATGCATCTGCGTTTGCTGCGCTTTCCTTTCTGTTTTATATCTGAGGCGCGTCTGTTTTGACCTTGAGCGCCTTTCCGATTTCCGTGACGAGGCATTTGCGTGGCTGCGCTTTTGGCCAATGGGAATTTAATTGCCGTTTTGCTGCTACAGACGGTTACAGACAACTATGACTTCGCTCCATGGGACAGTTGATGGTTTCACATTAAAAAAGGATGGGTAAGGGTGAGAGGCGGAGGGGGAGTGGGTTTGCTTTTAGTTCCGCTATCATGGAGGAGGGAAGCTCGACGAAGTCTCTGCTTTTGTAATTTTGAGGCGTACGTAAACAACGTAAACAAAAAACAAAACTGCCCTTGTCTGCTGGCTTCCACTTATATTTAGCCGTAACATCAGGACGTTCAATTTTGTTCGGCTAGTTCCCGTTTTGTGTTCTGTCAACCTATCGAGGTAGGCACCCACTAAAACTCCCTAATGCTAGAACCACACAACCACACACGTATCCACATTAATATATTTCACGTTTGATACATCTTTAAAACAGTCGGTACTGTAGCGCGCTAACACAACACTCAGAGTGGATAATGACGTAATATCGCGAGGGTACGCTGGCGGCACTTCCGATTTTACGATTTTAGCCGTCCCAGTGTTGCCTCATTTGGCCGCGGTGGCGCTGATGGTTAACCGACGGTGGCGCTCTCTGGAACCCTGCCCAGCGCCTATTAGGAATTTCTTCACAAAGTAAAACCCTGGGGCGAATCCGGAGCCATCGTTGGCCTATTCGAACACACCGCTCTTCCGGAAGCAGCAGACGATTGTTACTTTTCGCGCTCGTCGTTTGATATAGCACGGTAACACGGCTCGTGACAGTAAACAAAGCAGTGAATTTTGGGTCCAGAGAAGTAGTAGCCGAATGGGCGAATGTAGCGTTGACGTGACGTACCACTATGACCACCCAGGACGGTGGCGACACAATGGCTGGCTGTAGCGGCGATGATAAGCAGCTGTTTTTCTCGGCAAAAACAACACCGCGTGCGTGCTAAAAGCGTCGGCCCGTGGCAGTCATCGCGCTTAGAAGCACACGCGAGGACGGCCGGTTTCGATTTAGCAAAACGGGTAAGCAAAATGGTTAAGCAAAACGGGTAAGCAAATCTTCGAAGCGACGTCCGTGTACCCGTGAAACAGTGCGGGAAAAGGGTGTGTGGGGGGTGGGAGGCAGGCCTAGGTCTCGCTCTTTCTCTCTCTCCTTCTTTTCTTTCCGATTAAACCAAAGGAACATTTGGGGTAAAAAAAAATTAAGTTGCTTTATTGGCTCTCCATTCTGAAAAAGATTCTTTCTAAAACCATACCAATTAATTCACTCATTAAAAGTTATCTAGTCGACAGCAATGCATTAATTAACTATACCGACCGTAATTAATCTCCTCAAATGGACCTTTTGGCAGAGACCAATACAACATTACCCCGTTTTCCGTGTAATGTGTGCTCTTCGCAGGAACGATTTGGCTCACGTTTTGTGAAACCCTGTAGTGTATATCGAGCAGTTTAGTTCGTGATTAATTTAGGATCATTTTAGCAAACGCCTAATGATATACAGACCCAATTACGCTTTCAAGCATCATAGTGTGTTACAAGACATATCGCATATTTTTTGTTTAGTTGTCGTCATTGCGGGGTGCCTTCTTTATTCGAAGCCTGATTGATTAATGAACACGTACTCTTGATGGCTCCTGGTTCTCCTTCCTTTTTAGTTGCGCAGTCCCAAGAAGATATCTGAGAAAATAGTGTACCTGAGAATCCTTGAACCGTTCGATAGTAACGAAACATCGACTGACGTGTTTGCCACAAAGATCAGAGAGATCGTAAACAAGGAGGAGTTCGCGGTATGCTTCGTGGGTGTCACGATAACTTTAAATGAAAAAGTAAGTATCAGGTTCATGCTTTTCAGTTCTATATGATACTTGATAAAAAAGATCAAAGATTATTTTAGAGCCCAAATCATTCAATGCGGAGCGCAAGTTCGTCTGCTTCCTTAGCAAGGGCTGTGGTGACGTTTGAACGCCGAGCTCTGCTTGGCTCTGACGGAAGGATAGTGGGGAGACCTCAGAGCACGCTGTACTGAGGTCTAGCCACTATCGTTCAATCAGAGTCAATCAGAGCTCGGTGTTCTGATGTCACCACAACTCTTGCAAAACAAGCACACAAACTTGCGCTCCCCATAGTTCCAGCAATCACCATTGCTTCATGAATAATATCGATTCTAAAAGACTCAATCTCTGTTTAATTTCTCCAAAACGGGGTAATTACAAGAAATTAATTGATGACAATTATTCAAATTCTTTTTTTCTGTGCCATTCTTAAGGATGTTCATTTTTGTTTAATTTAGCGGGGAATAGCAAAAATAAAAACAACGTCCTCTCGTTTACTCCATTGGTAATGTGAATATGCCGAATAAATATTTCTTGTTCATCTAGCGCCCACTGGTGCGATCGGCAATCAACTGGTCACGCTTGGCACTGGGTTTGAAATTTAACATGTCTTAGAGATACAGTAACCAAAAGCGGGCCAACAATTCGATCAACTGTGCTCCGGTCATAAGCGGAATGCACTTCCAAGTTCTTCGAAAGCACATTTCGAACGCATTACCGTGCTTTAAAGCGCGTTTAGAAGTTTCTTGTCCGAGATAAAGATAACATGCGAGAAGTCCTAAAAAGAGGGACGTAATGGTTAAAATTTGAATTTCTTGGCGTTTGTCTTTTTGCCGACAGTGTGGACAGAACACTATGGCCTCGCTGGTTTCGCTCACGAAGAGCTTTATTTTAGTGTTTGCTGCGAGTTTTTCTGGCGCGTGTAGAACTCACAGCTACAGAACATGGTTTCTCTGCATGAGCGCTTGCGCTAGAAAAGCAGGTTTCAAGGGAAGAACTGCGTCCATGTTCTTGCTGGCGTTTGCAATCTTTGTCGACCTAAAACTTAAAGGTAACAGAATATATGCCTACTCAATCCGCTGCGTATGCTCTACTCAAAACTCTTCATAGGCGGTATTCATTGGACATTATATGTAAGTGCACTGTCCACCGGGCACGCACAGAACGAGCTCGCCTGTATGCGGGCAGAAATTGAAGGAGAGGAGGAGACGAGAGCGCATGGGGATGTCGTAACACCGAGCTCTAGTTGGAACTATTTGTGGGTAGACCAGACGCCTTTGGAATACTGCAATTACATCATGTCCTCTAAAGCCACTAATTCAGAAATTAATTAATATTTTTTAATCAGGGAACTTAGCATGATGATTTTCCCCTCATGTAATGTCCGGCCAGCCTCATAAGTACATGGTAAAAAGAGGGCTCTTCTGACCCTGAACCTTCATTAAAAAAATAAACAAAAAAACTTGTTCAAATTAAAGTGAAACACGCGGTGTATTCAAGAACTGTAAGAGGGCAGCAGCGTGGCACACATAATTATTGTCGACGTTGGGGAGGTCGGTGACCGAGTGTGTTAACGCCCCGAAGCTAAGAGCATGTGGAGATGAAGCTCACACTGCGGAGCATAAGACCTCTGGCCAACCGACCTCTCTTACCTCAGGATAGCTAGGTCGAAGCAGGCGATCCCTCGATAAAAATAAATACACGTGCTCGCTCATTCACTCGATCTAAATGAGCGACTTACCGACGCATGTTCTTGTCCTGGCTGAAGTGTGTGCACGGTAAAGAGCCCACTTACAATCACTGCCAGGTTAAGAAACGCGAGACGTGGCTTATGATGTTCCGGCATCTTGCTTTGTAATTCCTCCTTCGATGTCCTTATCGGCTAACCCAGCAGTCTCATAGCCTAGGGAGCGATAGCGAAAAGTTCGGGACGTGCTAGTCGCATTTCTCTAGCTGAAGTCGCATCCACAGCGTCAAGTAGTGTTGCCACACCTCGAAAGGCAGACCGACCCTGCGATTTAAAAACACTGAAAGTTTCATTTGGTTTGATGTTCGTTGTGTCCTCTGAGACGCGCCCCTCCCACCTTCCCCCTTTTTGTTAAGTTGGTAAAGTGTTCACAATTTTTTACTTTAATGTTTATTCTTACAAAACAAAGTGGTGCAAGTACAAAATACGTCCCCCAAACTACGTGTACTTAAACAATGATCTTCCCTTTATGTCCGGAGGTGTCTCGCCCTGTCCTCGAACATTTTGTTACTTTCCGCTCATACTGCTAACATATGACACGCACGCTCTCCCTTGTCGATATACTCCGGCAGTGTAGTGCCGAGTATTGTGTGAGAAAATTACTTTTAAATATATACCTTTAATGTAAACGCGAAAATCACTTACCAAAGTGCCGATTCGTAAGCCTGCTACTAGCTGAGAAATAGTTAAAGCAATTTTATTTCACTGAAGTCCACGCACCAAGGCAAGCTTAATGTGTCGTCAATTCCTCCTCGTTTCACCAAAAAAAAAATATAAATACGCCAAGCCGTCAATGATGCAGACTTCTCTTTCTTTGGCTGAACCAGTAAGTCTAAAACAAATCAGAGACAGTCATTCAGACAATAGCAGTCCTATTCAAATAGAAGGTCCCGCGATGATCAGTAGGTGAACCAGATTCTGAATGTTGGTATTTAAGAAAAATATTGTCAGTTACATTATATCATTCTAGAACTTTAAAACAGTCAATACTCTAGATGCTTTAGCAGCATTTTCGTTGGACTATTATAGATATATTATGAGTGAAAATATATCGACTAATAGTAACTAAATTGCAATATTCAATACTCAAGTCTGCTTGCAATCTAACCAATTAATATTTAATATTTTTGCAGTTAATGCAATGGATAGCAATAAACGGCACGTTCATCGAAGAAAACCTTCAAACAAGCGTAGCTAATTCAAGCAGCGCGAGTGAAAATAAAAGTGAAATTAAAAAATGCTCTGCATAAAAGTATATGCAAGTTTGTTTTAAGGAAATAAAGAAAAAAACATTGCCTTAGTCGTTTTTATTTGTGAGTAAATAACAGTATATTTAGATGTTCTTTACACTGACGTAAGGCAATTTTCACACTGAGTAATGACGTAGCTTACTTCAAGAAACAAAGCATAGAGGTCTTAGTTTCGAGAATGTGTGGGATGACGACGCACAAAGTAAACCAAAACGAGAAGCCTAGAATACCCTGGCTACCTGTTAAGTATTAGGCCTGAGCGGGACCGATTGGAGCACTTTGATCGCTCAATGGTGACATAGCATCAAGTATCACGTGACGAGGCGGGGTATTTTCTCTGCTATGCTTTGCTTTGTTTGTGTGTTTTTGGCGCGTACTGTTCGCTAAGTGCATTTTGTTTTTGCAATCACGCAAAACGTGCGTAGGACGTGTAGTGTCGTCGGACTATTTGCTGGTGCACAGCTAGCGCCACCTAGCCTCAAGACAATAGCACCTGTAAGGTTAGGCCTAGGACGGGGGCAGAGAAAAGAAGATGGAGCCAGGGCGCGGGGTCGGTCATACGCTGGTTGAATAAACAAGTTTGTTATCGCTTGCGATCCGGCTTTGAATGCGTGCATCACGACGCCTCCACCGAGACTAAGACACCACAAAAACCTGGCGACGAGGATTTCGTCTATTTGAGCCCTACGCAAGGCCTTCAGAAGTCCGCAGCGCTACGCCAAAGCAAGCAAGCCAACACAGAGGCAGAAGACCCACTCCACGTGGGAAACGTCGGCAACGTCAAGTAAGCGAAATGGACACACTCCTACCCGCCCTGTCACCATTCGACCCGCATTCAGACGCGTCGTCACTCGCGCAGAGGTGGACAAAATGGCACGCGCGTTTCGAGAACTTTCTACTTGCTGGGAACGTGAAAGATGCCGCCCGCAAGCGCGCCATGCTACTTCATTACGCCGGTGAGGAGGTGTACGATATTTTCATCACGCTACCTGGCACGGGTGCGGACTATGAAACGGCAGTCGCTCGTCTGACAGAACATTTCGCTCCCAAAAAGAACACGGTATACGAGCGCCACGTTTTTCGTCAAGCGCGGAAAGACTCAGAAGAGACTTTAGTCCAGTTTCAGTTGAAGCTGCGAAGACTGGCCGCGACGTGCGAATTCACGGACGTCGAGCAAGAGCTTGTCTCACAAATCATCGAAGGGACCACGTCCGCCAAGCTCTGTCGTAGCGCTCTCCGAGAGGCCGACATCACGCTGGACAAGCTCATGAGCATCGGCCGTAGCATCGAGAACGCTGAGCGCCAAGCTGCCATCATAGAACGCCCCACGACAGCACTAACAGTCCAGAAGCTGTCAACCAAGAAAGCAAGATGCAGCAGCACCGCCCCGTAGAATTTGTTCGAGAGCAAGAAAGCGGACAAGTGTTCGTGCTGTGGTGGAGTTTAGCCGCACAAGGGTGGGAAGACAAGATGCCCAGCCTGGGGAGCCAAGTGCCACGAGTGCCAGAAAAGAAATCACTTTGCCAAGATGTGCAGAGGTAGTGCAGCGTCCAAAGAATCCTTACACTCTCTAGCCTCGTCCACCACACCCAGAAGCACGTCACAGGATAAAAGTTCCGACGAGTCCATCTACCACATTGGGAGCCCTAGGAACGAACTTCCGGTCGTGACAGTGGAGGTCAACGGGATCCCCCTGGAACTGATTGTGGGCTCTGGTGCGGGAGTCAACGTCATGGGAGAACAAACTTGGCACAAGCACCTCCGCGTGAAGTTGAAAGAGACCAAGACGAAACTAGTTCCCTACGGCATCAAGCAAGAGATCCCAGTCGTTGGGATGTTCATCGCGACGTTCCGTACCCAAGAACGAAGCGTTGAAGCGCCGGTCTTCGTTGTGAAAGGACCACAGGCTTCACTGATGAGCTACAAGACGGCGACAGACCTGAAGCTCATCAAAATAATCCAGACGGTCGCTGTAAAGACCACGGTCGACGCCAGAAGAGAATTTCCGAAGCTGTTTGGGAAACTCGGTCGACTGAAAGACTTCCAAGTTAAGTTGAAGATTTCGAAAGAAGTAAAGCCAGTGGCCCGACAACATCATCGGATCCCATTCCAGATGAGAAGGGCACTGGAAGCCGAACTAGCACGACTAGAAGAGCTCTGCATCATCGAACGGGTGAAGGGACCAACACCGTGGGTCTCGCCGATTGTCATCGTCCCAAAACGCCATGACAAACAAGCAGTGCGAATGTGTTTAGACATGAGAGAAGCAAACAAGGCCATTGCCCGAGAGCGGCACATCATGTCTACTGTGGAGGACGTCATCAGCATCCTAAATGGTGCAGCTTACTTCTCAAAGCTGGACTTGAATTAGGGGTATTACCAGCTTGAGCTGGATGAGACCTCACGAGTGATCACGACTTTTTCCACCCACTCTGGCCTGAGAAGGTACAAGAGGTTTCTTTTTGGGTTCAATGCTGCAGCCGAAATCTTCCAGGACGCAATATGACAAGTGCTTCCCGACGAGGATGGTATCATCAACGTAAGCGACGACATCCTGGTATCAGGACAGACGCTAGAAGAACACGGTCGTCGTCTGCGCCTTGTGCTGAAACACCTGGAAGGTGCTGGGCTCACCGTCAACGCCAAAAAGTGCGTTTTAGGAACCAAGAGCCTGAAGTTCTTCGGTCATGTGTTCTCCGCAAGTGGAGTCATTGTGGATCCCGAAAAGGTAGAAGCAGTGGCGAAGATGTCACCCCCCGAAATGCAACAGAAGTCAGAAGCTTTCTCGGAATGGTGAACTACTGCAGCAGGTTCATTCCCCGCCTCGCTCAGATGGTTGAACCGTTGAGGAATCTGACACATGCTGACACAGAGTTTTGCTGGATGAAGCGGCACGAAGAGGCCCTTAAGAGTGTTAGACAAGAGCTGTCAAGTGCACCCACTCTGGCATACTTTGATGAAAGAAAGAAGACCTACGTCATCACTGATGCAGGACCTGAAAGAATCGCCGGTATGCTCATTCCAGAAGAGCCAGAAGGAAGAAAGCCCAGCAACCTGGCCTACTACAGCAGAGCTCTGACACCTACAGAAAGAGGTACCCACACATCGACAAAGAAATGCTGGCCATCGTGTCCACCATAGAACACTTCCGCATGTACCTGGCTGGAGGCAAGTTCACAGTAAAAACGGACCACCTACCACTAGTGTCCATAATCAAAAAAATGAAAGCCGTTTACAACTCCCTGTAACGCCGAATTAGAGCGCAGCTCTTGAGAAGGAGGAGGGAAGGGTACTGAGGTTCAAGTGTTATCGGGGGGGAAAGGTGGTCACGTGACCTTGGAGGGGTCACATGACCCCCTCGCCAAGGTCACGTGGGGGTCACGTGACCTGGGAGTGTCACGTGACCTCGGGGGGTCACCTAACCTCAAGAGAAATTTTTCCGCTAGATTTAGCGGGGAAATATTTTCGCTAGATTTAGCGGGGAAATTTTTTCGCTAGATTTAGCGGGGAAATTATTCCGCTAGATTTAGCGGGGAAATTTTTCCGCTAGATTTAGCGGGGAAATTATTCCGTTAGATTTATCGGGGAAATTTTTCCGCTAGATTTAGCGGGGAAATTATTCCGCTAGATATAGAGGGGAAATTTTTCCGCTAGATTTAGCGGGAACGTTTTTCCGCTAGATTTAGCGGGGAAATTTTTCCGCTAGATTTAGCGGGGAAATTTTTCCGCTAGATTAACGGGGAAATTATTCCGCTAGATCTAGCGGGGAAATTTTTCTGCTAGATTTAGCGGGGAAATTATTCCGTTAGATTTAGCGGGGAAATTTTTTAGCGGGGAAGTTATTCCGCTAGATTTAGCGGGGAAATTATTCCGCTAGATTTAGCGGGGAAATTTTTCCGCTAGATTTAGCGGGGTCGTTTTTCCGCTAGATTTAGCGGGGAAATTATTCCGCTAGATTTAGCGGGGAAATTTTTCCGCTAGATTTAGCGGGCAAATTTTTCGGCTAGTTTTAGCGGGGAAATTTTCCCGCTAGATGTAGCGGGGAAATTTTCCCGCTATATTTAGCGGAGAAATTTACCCATAATGCACCGCGCGGTTACGCCGACGGCGACGGCGACGGCGACGCCGACGCCACTCAAGCCGGAAACGGGCGCCTAAGAGCTGCGCTCTAAAACCTGAGCGCAAAACTTTCAGCGAGACTGGAACGCCTCAGCCTCAGATTGCAGCACTATCTCTTTGACGTCCAACACATTTCGGGGAAGGACAACCCTGCTGACTACCTGGCAAAGCACCCGCCTGCAGTGGAGAAGGACAACCCCACGAGAGAAACTGTCGCAATGGAGGAATACATTTCTTTCATTCTGGAGTCCTCTGCACCCAGAGTGTTGACCATTCAAGACATTGAAAAAGCCTACAAGGGAGGCACTCAAATGGAGATGCTAATCCGCGCTCTCCGGGCAAGTGACCGCAAAACGACTGAACGTCTATGGAAGAGCGACATGCTGAAGCCTTTCGCCCAGATTCGAGATGAACTGATGGTCGCCGAGAATGACGTCGTGCTGAGAGGGACCAGACTTGTGATCCCGGACAAGGCCCAGGCACAGTCTATACGACTGGCTCACCGGGGACACCAAGGCATGGTGAAGACCAAAGAGCTCTTCAGGGAGAAACTCTGGTTCCCAGGAATCGACGCAAAGGTGGAAGCTACAGTCAAGAACTGCGAAGCATGCCAGAGCACAGTCGTGGAGAAGAAATGCTCACCACTGAGGATGACGCCACTGCCCGATGGACCCTGGCAGTCGCTGGCAGCAGATTTTGCCGGCCCCCTGCCAGGCAACAAGTACCTATTGGTGGTGGTCGATGAGTACTCGCGGTTTCCCCTCGCAGCAACCCTTTCTTCGTTGAACGCAAAAGCTGTGACAGCGAAGCTGAGCGACATGTTTACTGTCCATGGAATGCCCTATGATCTGAAGACTGAAAATGGTACTCCGTTCTTTGGA